GGCACGTGGGGCGAGTATGAGGCAAGTATGTGTTAGGAAGAGATGTGATGATGATGCGTATGGGGAGAAAAAGAAAGATGACAACAAGGAAGTTGGAGACGAGGGAGTCGGACCGTTGCACCGGGATACCGTTTTTCCTTTATTATTTCCCTGACCCTGCATCTCGTCAGATGCGCAGTACTGGGAGGTAAGCAAGGCTTATTTGTTAGTATTTGTTTTATTATGCTTTTGCGTTGGCCCCAAGGTGTGTGATGAAGGGATAAAGAGTGGTTGGACTGAAGAGGAAATGGGAAAGAGGGTCGGAGAGATATGGGCCGTGTTTGAAGGGGAGCAGGGATTGGGGGGGTGGCAGAGTATTGAGCATGCCGCAATAGTGGTACGTTTTGGGCACTAGCAAACGGGCGCGGGTTGCGAGGGAGGGGGTGTTAAGCGAGACATCTGATTCGGCAGGTATGTGCTGTAGTGGGCGGCATGAAAGTTTGTATTGTGGTTTTTTGAAGCTACGAGGGAGGATGAGGGCATGGGATGCAAGGCATGAAGACGGAGATGACGAAAAAGATGATGGTGACATTTGATGGTGGTGATGACTGCTGTATATGGCGGGCTGCGTGGGTTTAGTGCTGATGGGGTGAATTGAAGCAGTGCAGGGGTGGGACTAGTTGAGAGTGGATATTGGGCTGGGCATGAGTTAGGTTAGGGTGGATGTGTGTGTGTGTGAGAGAGAGAGAGAGAAAGACATGTGAATGTGAATGTAAATGCGTGTAGTAGTAGTAGTAGTAGTAGTAGTAGTAGTGTAATAGGCATAGGCAAAGGGGAAAGAAAAAGAGTGGCATCGATGTGTTACATGGAGTCGTGGTGTTAGCGTGGACGGAATGCCGGGGTATTGGGATCGAAAGGTGGTGGGTGTGAGGCGAAAAGAAGGGCCGGGCGGGCGCGACGAGTCCAGGTGGGCGGAAGCAGCGGTGATGAGGCATTGCATCAGCCCGCGACCCAGCTCACAGGGAGCCGTGCGGCCGTAGCGACCCAAGCCAGCAGGCTGACGGCGATTCTGTCGGTGGTTTAGAGATGGGGATGGGTATCTAGTTACGTATGTGTAGAGCCGTTATTGGCCTTGGATGGCCTGGCGCTGGGGGTCTGAGAATGTGCAGCGGGCAGGCGGGCCAGCGATGTGACGGTGCAGCGGAGGCAATATGTGTCGACGAGTGGGTATGTAGGATATGTACATGGGCAGGATATATGGCAATGCTACGGTATACTGTATGACATGTGCGTCCCCACGGGCAAGCGTCTCGTTTTGGCGCTGGTGTCGAGGTGGATATGGACATGGTGATAGGGAAAAAAGCCCGTCGCCGCAGTCAGCCGAGCCAGGGAGCTGTGCCTTGGCCACCAACGGGCCGCTTGCGAGTAGTTCGGGGTCGATCCCAGCACGCCGGGAGACACCATCGCTTGCCTGCCATGGCCTGATTGTGATGCACGGGGGCATACTTACTACATATACATACACGACGAGGCGCATCCATTCCAACTGCCTCGACTTGGACACTGCCGCCATCGCAAGCCACCGACCCATCCGCCCGTCTCGCCAGCAAAAGTGGTGCCGGTGCCGGTGCCAGTGCCAGCAACGAATAGTGTCTTGTGCGTGTGTATTGGCTGCGGGCGCCAGTGGGGTTCGCCTACCAAGCCTTCGGTGTCCCTCCCGACCAGTTTGACCCAGTGGCCAGACTCCAGGGATTTGGACACGACCTCGGCCTTGCACCCTCCACACTTTCTTACTGCTGCTGCTGCTGCTACACTGCACACCACCGCCGCCGCCGCCAACAGACATCGCCCTCACTGTCACCGTCACTGTCACCACCACCAGCCATGTCGACGCCGCCCAACCCGCCGGCCCAGGACAAGGCCAAGACGGGCCTGGGCAAATATGTAAAGAGAATGAGCACCGTCTTCAAGAGGGACCGCTCCTCCAAGTCGCAACCGCCTGCCACAGCCCCGGACGCTCCTTCCTCTTCTTCTGCCGCTGCACCTCAACAACAACCACAACCACCACCTCAGCCACAACAACAGCAAAAACTGCAGGACCAGCAACCCTCCCCCGCATCACCACCTCCTCAACCCCAACAACAAGAAATCCCGTCCGTCGACAATGAAGCCGCAAAAGACACCACCACGTGAGTCTTCCAGTAGACGCTAACACCAACACCACTAACAACATGACAGCCCCGCTCCCGCTACAAAGTCCTTGGACCGCAACGCCATGCAGCAGGAGCGTGCCCGCGCTCTCTTTGCAAAGTATGGCCTCACTCTTGAGTCGCATGAGTGGATCGCCGCCCCGGGCCCCATGCCCCCCCTGCAGCGTGTCGAGAAGCCCATTCGCATGCGTGTCCACCGCACCTGCCACCGCTGCGGCACCCTCTATGGCGCCGACAGGACCTGTGTCCAGTGCGAGCACAGGCGCTGCAAGAAGTGCCCTCGCTTCCCCAAGAAGAAGACGCCCGAGGAGAAGCAGGCCGAAAAGGATGCCCCCGACCAGCCAAAGAGAAAGCGCATGCTCACCATCCGCACCCGCGCTGGAGACGAACTTGTCTACCAGCCCACCAAGCAGCGCATCAGGCGCACCTGCCACAAGTGCGCCACTGTCTTCGTCCCTGCCCAAGCCGTCATCTGCCAAAATTGCCACCACGCCAGATGCACAAAATGCCCCCGCGAGCCCTCAAAGCTCACCAAATGGCCTGCCGGATACCCCGGCGACGCCGAAGCAGACAGCGAAACAGAGGTCGACAGGCAACTCGAGACGTTTAGGCGCACTTGGCGGAAACCAAGAACCAGGGTTCGCTGGCAGTGTGAAAAGTGCAACAGCCTCTTCCAAAATCACCAGCCTCAGTGTCCAGGTTGCGGACACGAACGGTGCGATCAGTGTACCAGGTCCCCGTATGTATCCCTATTACCTCTTCAACACCATCATCGTTTGCTAACACGAAGCAGTGTCAAGAAACCAAACAAGTCTGATCAGTTCGACGCCCAGGTGGTTGCAGCTGTCGAAGCCAAGCTCAGAGCCATGGGCGTGGATGATGAGGGGCTCTCTTCAGCCGCAGAAGCTACTTGATTTTCTGTCATTTCCCATGCTGACCATGACGCCTATTTGCTCGTTTTGTTTCTGCAGCTACCTTGACCAATTCCAATCCTTTGCATTTTTTTCCTCTTCTCAACATACATATCATCGACCGTTTGACAATCACCTTTAAGCTTTGACTTGACATCATCACCCTATCTGACACTACGTACCATGACAGCCACAAGTTTCATTTCCCTAAACCCATGCCCTTGTCAGTGACACGAATCCGTATATTCAAACATGCATCTAACCGCACTGACCCATCCGCCACTCGCCTTCTAGAACATCCTACACGCTGCATCTCTTCAGCCCCAGATCCCGAAATTCTCCGTCCCAAGCCCCCCTAAGCAAGTAAGCTAGTTCAGCTTTACCGCCAGCCCCAAACTTGTCTCGGCACTCGAACCCTTTCAGTCAGGCATCCCACTAAACAACAAACTGCCACTCATGGTCTGGACCCCCCCCCCCCCTCCTTCTCCGCCCTAACTCATTCAGCCACTCTTTTTTTTCTTGTCTCTCTCTCTCTTATTAGTCTATTAGTCTCTTAATCTCTTAATCTCTCTCTGTTTTCCCCAGATGCATCATGTACATGTAACAGGGATTTACGTAGCCCCATCTTTGCCATCTTTTTTTCTTTGGTCTCTTGACCTCGCCGACCTGGCGGGGGTTTTTTAAGGTTGTTGATGAGGTTGTTGGCCAGCGGTGTATGGACGTGTTACGTGGTCAGCTGTATGTGTTTTTCTTTTTCTTTTTGCTAACTACATTCGTGCTGTTTAACCGAGTTGGTTGGTAAAAACGGTGAAGGGATATGGGGATTTCATGAGCTGGTAAATAGGTGTATTTATTCAAGGTGGGTTGAGATGGTTGGGTTAGGTTGTAGGCAGTGCGTATTCTAGTGTCGGATAATATACGGTAGGATTGCAAGTAGGGGGACGTGTGCATGGATCCACTGCAATCAACACTTTATGCAAATACTGCCTATTCTGTTACCAAGTGCAGATCATGATTCGTGAACGCAGGGAATAGTTGTAGTCAATCACGTAAACTCAAGTTAGTTAGCCTGTACTAACTACTTATGCTCACTTGGTGAGATTCGTATTGAAATAACATATATCTATCAGTGGTTCATTGAAACAAGCTGACTACAGTGGGTAGCTGTAGTATTTCTACTACCTGTGCTGTCTACTGCATCGTATGTCAGAAAAAAACGGTGTTAACAATCAACATGACTCTGAAGGCCGAATGGAAACATGCATGGACCGAACATGCCCAGCATAACCAGTCACGATACTTTATATCCTGTCGCGGTCAAGCTTATCTAGTCATGGGGCTCAGTAAGCTCGAATCCGGACGTCGACGTGAAGGAGCCTGAATACGGGTCAAGCTCGACCTACCAAGTGTCTGCGACATGGACAGGAGATACAAAGGAGGTTTCGGTATATTTTATTCTGCTGCCTTCGTTGCAACCGTATCGTGGTTGTCGTACCTGATGGAGGTGTGCCTAATGGGCATATATCCGTTGAGAGATGTATATTTTTGGTAGTATTACCAAACCATTCCTGAGGGTTCAAAGCAGGATCTCGCAGACCCTCACCCGATTTTTTTTTACTTTGATTGCAAAGTCATTTTTTTGGATACCCGATTGTGGCAGATTAGGGCGCGGCCTGCTACATAGCAAACAGAGAAAAAAAAAGTCAAGTCAGTCAGTCATATTTTATTTCCGAATAAGTTGATCAAAACTGCATTCGAGCGCTGTTAGAGCTCGACAGACAATTCATCTCTTTTGTCCTCAAAGTTGTACAATCAAGCTTGACTACTACTCCACATATTCTAACACCAAAGATATGGTATGATCGCAAGTAACAAAATCGTGTAGACACATCATGTAGTCTTCTTGTAGCAATTGTCACTCCCAAATACTTCCTGTACCAGTGACAGCTCTAGTGAATGAGTGCCATCGACGTACAAGTACATGTGTTCATTGCAGTTACTTCCAAATAATCCCGTCTGTCACAAGCATCGCCTGTCCAGATACCTATGCACTACAGAAGCGCAAGTAAAGATATGTATACACCCACCATAGCCAGCCCAAAACAATCATAACATCGAAAACGCCATCTGTCCCAGTATCAAATCCCGTATCTGAACTGAGACAGTGAGGATATGCGTGAACCCATTGTCAGCTTATAATGACCAATCCAATACAGTATTGCCTCCCACTTCTTCCACTCCTGTCTTAACACACCCCAGCATACCCCTAATCGTACACACTCTCCCCCCTTCTCATCCCTCCAGGCCCGGTCCCCTCCATGCGACTCCGCTGTCCTTGAGCCATCATGCTCGCCAAATTCCGTCCACGCACCTCCGTCATGTATTCCATTTGCTCTGCCCCCATGTTCCTCATGCCGTTTCCACTCGACCGGAACCCAAAGGAACTGTGTACTGCAAACCCCACGCATACAAGCAGTCCAGCTCCGATGATAATAAGCAGGATGATGACGGGCTTTGGAAGAAGGTATCCCTCGTCGCGTTTGATAAGGGGTGCAGCTGTTGTATAAGGGAGCATGCCGAGGATGAAGAGTGGCGTCAAGACGGTTGTTCGTTGTAATCGTGCCATTGCTGTTGAATTCGTGTCGTAGCGATCGTAATAAAGGAGATAAAGCGATGTATATATATCCAGATCGTTAAAATGAGTGTTATCCACGACGACGTCTCGAACCCACAAAACACTTTCGAAATGGGCAAACAATGTAGATGGAAAAAAGAGAGAGAAACTCCCCTAAGAAAAACAGCGAACCAGGCCTCTCAAAAGGCAACACACAACAACCAACGAATCCTTTCAACCCAAAACACCCAAAAACTCGGCTCCCTCAATTCTGGCGCCATTCACCTGACCTCCCCCCCCCTTGTCACCCTCAATACTTTCCCATCTGCAATCCTTCATACACACACCCAACCACCCAACCGACCTCACCCATTTCCTCTTCGGCTCAAGGCGTCCTACCCACCCACCCACCTGATTGGCCCTTCCCATCTCGATACTTACGCCCTGCACCGCCCCCCTCCCACAGCGTCCCCACTCAAACACGTGACAACCCGAGGGACTCCAATCAGAAGCTCGCATTGTTCCAATCTATTCTGCCTAACTAAACCGTTCTTTCCAACATATTGGGTTGCATGAAGGCGTGGCGTTCGTCGGGACCTGCGTACAGAGGTGGTACGGTTTTTTTATTCTTTCTTTCGAGTGGGATTAGTAATGCGATGGGTGGGGAAATAAAGGATTATGAGAGGTCGAAATGGGGAAGGATGGGTCGTTGCCTGGTAATTTATTAATGACGGCGCGGTGATGTATAGGGCTTGCTATCCTTTTTGTTTGAGCTCTTTACCCTGCAATCTTCACCTATGTTACTTGGACCTTACAGTACTCATTATTATTATTTTCCCGAGTAAAAGAATAGGTGTGCAAAGTTGCACTAAACTAATAAACAGTATCTGAGGTGGTACTACTGTCATGATTTTCCTCGGTAAAGAGTGGACCGGGCAGGCAGCTCCCCCCCCAAAAATAGAAATCTACGTTGCCGCATTGAGATAATTGTACGAAAAAGGTTGGAGTTGTGGTCAATGTGTCCCTGTCGATTCGGTTTGATCGCCGTGACTTGGTATGTAAAGTGGGTCTTTGTAATGCGTGTATATGGATGGTGTAGTCGGCGTCGGCGACGGCGTCGGGTGCGCGCCTAGCATGTGGTTGTCTCTGCAGACGCGGTCGAAGTCTAAGCGGTAGAAGATTGCGGCTCTTGAATTGAGCCTGTTTTTTTTCCGCTTAGGAGCTGGGTATGGATGTCTTCATGGGCTGCTACGAGGAGGTTGGTTGAGAAGGCGTATAAGCAGCCCAGCATAAAGAGGGGAAGTGAGAGGATCATAGTGGCTAAACTTTTGATAGTAAAGTGTTTTTGTGATAGACAAGATATTGAAAATCGGTGTCTGAGTGAACCTCTTGGTAACCTTTTTCCCGCATACAATGGGCCGGGCGTATACCCTCGCAAAGTACATTTACCATATATACGTAATCTGACTGTGGATTAATACAAGTAGCGCCTTTTTCCCCTTTGTTCAAAACTATAAAATTCATCGCAAGAGTTTCCCCTGTGGCGCAAGATCCCATGCTCTATGGGACGAGTCGAATACGTTCTGGTAACCTCATTGGTATCTCGGTCTAGTTTACGACCCCTCGGAGTATAAAGATTTCCTTCGCGATATGATTCATATCAATCAGAAGACGATGCAGGCATATCGCAAATTCAGATTCAGGTGTTCCAGCATCGTTCGTCCCTATCAACATGAATATATCCTGGTGGCTATCAATGGCCGTTTCCTGTTGAGCTCTGGACGAGAATAGCAGCGCTCGTGGAAGATCTGCCGATGATCAAGCTACATGCTGCCACCTCTCCCGCCTGGACACGAGAAATGCGCTAATATATGCATGAAATCCATGAAAAAGAAGCATAAGGCTTATTGGTCGTTTCCATTTCTTTTCAATCTACTAGTGCTGCCAGATATTCCCTCTCCACCAATGTTACCTCTACCCAACCCCACACACAATCATCACTCCACTGCCGCGTCCTCATACCAGAAAATACCAGCTACCTACCCTACGCCCGAAAAGTTTTCCACAATGTCGTCCAGATCCCCCAAACAAAGTTTCGGCATGGAACCTTCATACATCCACTCCAAGTACCTCCACGCCTCCTAGTCGAACAAGGCTTTTCATCTCACCTAGTCCCATGTCATCTCAGATAAGACACATCCTATGACTATTATCAATCCCCACCATTCCGCTTTCTACAGGTCTAGATTGCGCGTACGAAATACATGCGGTAATATATCTTGGGCGTGATGGATGGTGGTTGGTGAATATATAGAAGTGAGGTGATAATTGCTCCACCAACTAACATATAACGGGTGTTATCGGAGGAGATGGGTATGGTGTATCAGCG